AAGGCATTTAAACAAAGTTAAGTGCTGGAGTTTTTATTATTCAAAATTTTGACGCCAATATTTTCCCTTTTACTGCAAATTAATATCGGCTCCAAATATCGGTTATCGGCCTCCTTGACTACTAATAAGCGGTATCGGTATCGGCCCTGAAAAAAACATATCGGTCTATCTCTAGTGCAGAGTAACAGATACCCTGTTGAATGACACACAGCTGTTGAAGATGAATAAGGAATTTTTCAGTGCTATGAGCAACACAGATTCAATTGGATTCACCTTCATTGTATTAGGGTGGAATTGGGTACGATTCCACTGCCCCTCAGAGTTCTAGAGCACTGCTGTGGAATGAAGGGATGTTATATGAAGCTTTTCTGTTTCTTGTGTTTGAATGTGCATTCACAAATGTATTCGCTTAGCTGTTCTGCAGCTCTTGTCTTTTATCGTAGCAGGTTTCAGTTGTACCACAATTGTTTTTTGAAGTTGCAGTGCATTTCTCTAATTGCTTTGAGCTCTGTGTGTTTGCACCCGTCTGTCACCAAATACAGAAGTAAGTATTGTATAAGTAAGCTTCAGTAAAAGTCAGTCCCTCCAGGAAGAAAGAACACTGTGAATTCTGCAACGACCTTGCAATTTGGTCCAGTCAACTTTTCTATTACCAATTTTTGTTTCCCACAAGTTATATCAACAGTTACTGTGCAAAACATCAGAAAACATTCAGTATGATTCAATTCATTTTGATTGGTGGGGTCATGACTCAATTCAAAACGATTTCCGATTCAGTACACAGAAGGCTAATTTCAAGATCTACTCCAGTCCACTGTGCGCCCAAACGCTCGCTGGATGAATTTCTTGCTGCTCCATTTTAGCAAGGCTACCGACTATTAGAACTAACATTAGCAGCGACCGACTAGCCAGTAGCTACAGTGCTTGCTCGACTGTGTTTTATGGAACCCAGAAAGGGTGTGCAGCAAGTCAAAATTTCCATCAGCGAAACATTTAAATCATACTTAAAGCTGCAGTAGGTACTGTTTATAAAATAACTTTTTGGTTTTCTTTGCTAAAACTTTAGCCCCGTTTACACGAAGGGAAAACGCAGATATTTCCCTGCGGTTTGGCCTCTCATTTACACGAAAACCCCGTTTTTATCACAGAAAACGATTATTTCTAAAAACTCCGGCCAAAGTGGAGATTTCTGAAAACGCCGGTTATTTGTTGCCATGTCAACTGGGAGAAACGGGGTTTTAGGTTCTCAAACGTCACATTATGCGGCCAGAAAATGCTTAACGTCACGTGAGCGCCTATGTTTACAGTTTGTTTGGTTACTGATCATCGTAAATCGTAAATCAGGAAAGTCGCTCGTGTTATTCGTTGTTGTCGATTCTGAGGATTCTGGTGGCTTGCATGGCTTTATCCTTCTCCCTACACTCGCCCATAGGTTTGGCATAGTTATGATGGCGCTCGACGGCGTATTTATGCGGGTTGATGTAAATGACAACTTTTTTGAAAACGATGTTGTGTGCACGATGTTATTATTGAAAACGGAGGGGGGGAAATATTTGTTTCTTTAAATACCTGGCTATGTGTAAATGTGGCATTAGCCTTCTGCTCCTTTCCCCTCTTCCTCTTAGCCAGTCTGTCTGTGTTGTGCTCTGATTACAGGAGTGGGATCAGTTGTGTAGGTGTCAGGCAGCAAGTTGTTCATCTTCTCCAATCTTCTCTGTTTCAAATACTGAGCTTCAACTCCAATGCGCATTCGTCAAACCTGAATTTGTATTGTACATAGTCCCGCTATCAACATTCTCATTTGATATGCTGTATGTCGTTGGACATTAATCATCTTCCACAAAATATGCTTCAGCTATTAGTGATTAAAATAAAAATATATTCCAGGATATTTACCAGCTTCAAATTCACAGCCCTTTAACCCATCCTTCATATTGACAGCAGTGTATATGGGTAAAGGGTTTTGCCCTTCATTCACTGCTCTCTGCTGCTCAGACAGGGTATTGGTGACTTTCTGTAATTCACATACAAAAGATATTATTTGAAAAAAAATGCATGTCTAGGCACCTTCATTTTAAGCTTTGAAGGTAATAATGAATTAATAATGAAAGTGATAACAGAAATTGCTGCTTACTTTCCCAAAGACCAGATGCTCAAGGATTAGGCCTGCCATATCAATGAGTGACACAATGTAACCCTCGTTTCCTCTCTCTGCCATTACTTCACTGTAATACTGCAGTTTCTCAGGAGAGAAGACACTCAGGACGCTCTTCGTCATCTGGTCCTTGGCTGCTGAGATGATAATGTCTATGTCCTGCTGTGACCAGTTAACTTCCTGATACAGAGTAGACATAGCCCTGTTCACATGGGAAATAATAGTGTTCAAGTGCATACAGTGATCTAAAAGCACTTCATATAACCAGGCAAACGTATATATACTTAGACAATACACAAGTAGTCAGCACAGAGTTTTCATTAACCATAACTGTTTTTAGGAGTGGCCTCTGCAAAACATTTGTTTAAAGCCCACACACAGAATTTTATTTGAAGCAATTGGACTGTACTTTCTTCTTTAACAGATAATTGGAAACAATGGCAGCTTGCCTGGTCACACAAGTTCTCGTATTCCAGATAAACAGTACTCTAAAATATGCTTCTATAATGATTTTAGGCGAGAAATAGGTAATACAATAACAGGATCTTGAAATCATGATTCTGATCCAGCCTGCCCTAGTTTGACAGTTTGATCTGAGTTTTGTGCGCTTGAGGCTGGACCAGCTTTACTGAGCAATCCGACCCTGTCAATCACAAGGTAGCCGCACCCTAAAACATACCCTGCTTTATTGTCTATTTTACTATAATTTGCTAATTGAACATCATGCTGTATGGAAGAAGACTCATTAAGAAACAGTGAGCTAATAAATCATGTGAGAAGTCAGGTTATTTCCCCATAAGACTGCATGTTATGCATGGAGCTGCCTTCTGCTGGTTATTACATAGAAGGCAGGTTTAAGACATTAAGCGCTGGCTGCACCTCACAGACCTGGAAGCTCTGTCCATTATATATACTGTTAGTGATAGAACCATCAAGCCTGTGATTAGTGGATGACCCACTAAATATATTTCAAATTTCTTCAAACTGTGAGTGGGTGACTGGTTAAAGGTTGGATATTAAGTGGAATAAGCGACTGGGCCAACTTATACCCCATGCATCCTAGCCTTAAAGTAAAAACCCGTCACTGAAGTGGCTGGTGACATCATGTGTCATGAAAGGTACCACATGGTTGTCAACTTTGTCCCCAGGATAACAGTGGAGTTCGCAGTGATACAGTCCACATAGGCCACATTTGGCTTTCTGTTTTTAATAACTGAATTTTTTTTAAATGTTTTTCTTATTTAAGAGGTACTTTCCAAAATAATAACAAAAACAGTCCAGTTGCACATGGGGACAGCTTATTATCACATTACATTAAAACTGTCAGTGAAACAATGTATATTGCATTTCACTTCATCTCTTTGTTTGATTTGTTTTTATTTAGGCATTTCAGGTCCCCCATGATGTAATTAAGAAACTGTACCAGCTAACCAAATAAAGTACTCTGTTCTAGCAGAAACACCTCATGCCTTTTATTCACAGGATGTTATTATATCCTAGTGTGGATACTGACTACTCAACTGGTTCACTCACCATGTTGATCCAGAAACACCAGTGATGTAACTGGCAGCATCCAGGACCTCTATATCCTTCAGGCCCCTCAAACTACCAAGCAGGCCTGTCATTGCTCTGGCCCCTCCCCCTGAAGCCACCACCGCTATAGTTGGCACCTGGACAGAGGGTACAGAGGTTTGGTTCTACTAGCTGTGTGTCCTTTATATAAAAGCTAATGTCAGCATGCTAACATGCTCAAACAGGTGATATTAACATGCTGATTCAGTTAGTAATATTTAATGTTTACCATGGCCACCATCCTGGTTTAGCATGTTAGCATGCAAACATTTATGAATTAAAGCTGCACTATGTAACTTTTTCTGAAAACAACTTTTCACTATGTGCTGAAAATAATGTTTACTGCATGCTGACAGTAGTCCACATACTAACTATTATGCTAAATACTGGAAGTAGGAAGCTTCTAATCCACTGGGCTTGAACGAAAAACAACCAATCAGAGCCAAGAAAGCTAGTTGATTGTTGAGTGTCATTCCCAGCATCAGTATTTGACAACCTGGGAATAATACATACATACATACATACATACATACATACAATAATGTATGTACTTTATGTTACATATGCAGTATTGTGGTCATTATACACATATACAGTACCATGTGTGGCTATGGGTTTGGAGATGAAATGACATGAGCTTGTAACTGTGTTTGGACTGAATGAAGTCATAGTGCTGTTACATACAGTACTGTATGTTGGTCTTGACTTCTGGCCCACTTGCATTATATTGCTTTTTTTTTTATCAGCAAAAATATTAGCAAACTGCCATTGGGTAGAAAGGTGGACAAGGGTGCAAGGGCAGATAGATTATTTTAAGAAACAATATAAAGAGTGTCACTCTACCTTTTTAGGTTCAGGTTGAGACCCAAGGCCTAAAAGCTTCTGCAAAGCCTGTGCCACTACAACTTTCCTCTTCTTCAAATACTCTTTCTCTTGAGGTGGGATGTTAAAGTCCAGACGTACTGCAAGAGATTCCTCCTCGCTGTGGATTTTCCAAGGTAAAGCAAGTGTAACAGAACACAAAGCTAGAAAAGCATTGTTTCACTAACCTCTTCTGGTTAAGAGTGGTTTGTTATACAGATTGTAAAACCCCTAGAAGCAAATTTGTGATTTATTATATTGGGCTATATGAATATAATTTGACTAATGCTTTTGTGTCTAAATGGGAGAAAATCCATGCAACCTTCCCAGTAAAGTGCAGGCTGTTATAGCAGCAGATTAATGGCCATAGTTTTGGTATGAGGTGTTCAACAATCACATATAGGTGTAATATTTAGATGTCCACATACTATTATGCTGAATACTGGAAGTAGGAAGCACCTTACCATTCATGCATTTCCACGTTTAAATCCACTGTGTCCTGCAATGGGGAAAAATACCACATTACAATAAAATAAATGTAATTTAAATTACAGTCCTACCATTGTTCTCTTTAAACAAGAAATATTTTATTATATTCATGTCCTATCGCTGTGATCAAGCTGACAGCTGTTACAATGTTGCTTTCAGTTATTGCTTTGGGAAGATTGTAACATTCACAGAACATCATAGGATTTAAATGTATTATTTTTTGTTTCTAGGGTTGTTTTGCCTTCTAATGTGCATTTTCTAGCTATACCAACTTATCAAACTGATGTTAAGGGAGTGAATGACACACAATACATGATAAAATTAGAAATTAGATATTCTATGTGCTAGGCTCATCTATGTTAAAAAGACCACATTTTGAAGATGGTTAAACAGCCACATCTTAAGTTAACTGATGCAAAACTTCAGCTAATTAGGTAGCTAGCATTTTGCTGAAATTAGCTAATTTAAGATGCAAATGTCACTTTTATGTTTTAACCATCTTCAAAATTTGGTTTTGTCAACATAGATGAGCCTATGGCACATAGCATATCGAAGTATAGGAAAGGAGGAAGTTGACTGAGGCTTGGGTAACTGTCATTGGACAAGGAGCCAAAAGGTGCTGGGCTTAGGAAGGGTCAATAAACTACTTGATGAATAAAATTCAGCAAGTAGCCTCAACCCTAAACACTAAATTTTAAAAGGAGTTCAGTCTAGACCTGCTCTATCTGAAAAGTGTCCTGAGATAACTTCTGTTGGCGCTATACAAATAAAATTGAATTGAATTTAATTGAATTGAATCATCCCTTAGTTATCCTGCTATAGGCCTAGACTATCG